TGCCACCAAAAACGCTTAAAACAAGTTTAGTTAGCACGCAGTAGGCCGAAAATTCGTCAAAATTACCTTCTGAAGCATAAAAAGGGGAAAAACCGGACACAACTGATCTGTTTTAAATTATCCTGACACTTATAATAACATAACACTGAGCCCACGTCGTATACAAGTGCGAACGTGAAACCGCTCTGTATAACGCGGATCGCAAGAGCTTTAGTTTTATCGGCTCAAATATCGCGGCGATTGTACGAAAGAAACCGGCAAGAACAGGGCGAACGTCCGTAGCCTCGAGGTTCGGGCGTTTACAATCGGCCCTCACGATGAGAACAGCAAACTCCAAACATATAATCCAAGGTCACGGGTATCCACTAACAAGTGAAGCTGTCACAAACACTCAACGTAGCGCATACGAATGCATCATATATCTTAGTAACCTGAAAGAGGTTTTCTGTTTGTAACATTGTATCTCGACTTCGCGCAGCATGAGCGGCACTTGCCTCAACTCTAAAAGTGCGTGGTCACCAGTCCTCGGAAAGAGAACATACATGGGTGAAGGTCTGTCGCCGGATGAATTCTGCTCATCACGTTATGCGGGGTCGCGTTACTGTTATCCGGTAAGTGTTAACACGTCGTTGGTATCTTAACGTGGTCGACGTAGAACATTTAGTTTATTGAGGGTATGGTAAAGGTAATTGTGCTCCGTATATGTTTATACAGCCGGAAGTTATTCAGCCCTAATGGGCGTCTCGTGTCTCCGCTGTAGAGGAGCAATTTAGCCAGGGAAGTTCAGCCTCTAGCCCGGGGTCTTTAACGTGCACCACGTAGTAGTGTTCACGACCGCACGCGGTACGATGCTCATCTAGATCGAAACGGGCAGGGGTGGAGATTCGATCCAGGATCGCTGGGTTCTGCAGCGCAAGCTTTCGCTCCGCGTGCTCCGAGCTGGTGGGCGCTATTACACTCCGTTTACCCTTAAGTTGAAACTAGAAGCTCCGCCTTCAGCGCTAGCTTTCTGAACTTGCTAACACAAGTGTGAACACGCAGGCGCGCGAGACCAAAGCACTGCGGAAGCCAGCGAGCTCGCGCTAAAGGCGGAGGTTTTCAGTGCCAGCTTTGGGGTGAACGGATTATAGTGTTCGCTACCCCCCCCGGCCACCGATTTCCCGAGTGTATAATCAGGCAGTATTTAACACCCATAAATACACGCGCGCTCTCGTCTGTCATTAACTCATTGATCGTCAGCGGCTCAATGACAGTTGACGTCGCTGTGTAACTAAGGTCGATAGCAATTGAGTCAACTCAACAGAGCTGGCCTATCTGAGGCACTATGTGAGTTAACTGAAAGAATCTGCAGAAACATTTTAGAGCGCAGCTGTTAGGGGCCCGTTCCCGGCTTGAGCAGCGTCGGCGTCGCCGTCGGCGTCGGCGTCGGCGTAACCAAGGTCACCCAAGGTCACGCGACCCTCAAGGTCATCCTACCCTATTGAAAAAACCAGCTTAAGCTGGTTAAGCTGGTCCCAGCTTCAAGCTGGGTTATTGCCCCAGCATGCCCAGCTTGGCATGGTGGTTAATCTGGTCATGCTGGGACCAGCTTGGCATGCTGGTCATGCTGGTTGATCTGGTCATGGTGGGTGATCTGGTCACACTGGGTAGATCACCTAGCATGACCAGATGGTTCAATGATTTGTCATGCTGAGGGAATTGGCTGAACAAACCAGTTTAGCCATTCAACCAGCTGAAATAAATACACAGGTAAACAAGTTATGCCTAAATGCCTCGAGGAACATTTATTGAGAGGATGGAGGCTTGGGTGTAAATCTTGTGTGCTGTTTCACCCAAGCATGCACATTTATTCTTTGGGTGCCGGTGGTTCCCTCCTTCTTGTGCCTTGTCTTGCGTTGTCGGGCAGGAACTCCTTTAAAACCTCCCGCACAATCTTCTGTCGGGGCCCGTGTGCCGAGCTTCGGTGGGTTTGGCTCCCTCGTAGTACATGAGACCATCTGGGGAAATTTTAAATAGATGTGTGTTAGATGGGCAATAAAACAAGCAATAAAATGGCTAGGTGGGCTAGTTAATTAGTGCATGATTTGAATGGAAAAGCGCCTAAAAAGCGTGGACACAAGAGAAGGATGGACAGCACGGAGTGCTACCTTACAATTGAACATGTTTGTGTTGTTATAAGTTAGCGCTTGGTCCTGTCCATCCCTTTCACCTGCTTTTTGAGGTGCTTTAGTCAAATAAAGTAAGCTCCAAGATTTCCTCTTGTTGGCTCATCAAACGTTTCTGAAGACAGTGCGTATGTCACGTTCACCGTACAGTTTTTCTGCATACAAGTGTTTCAAACTACCAAAATTATTAAGAACTTTGTGTTTTACTTTTCAGGAAGTATGATCCAAGAGCGACAGAAATATAACTTATACAAACAAAAGGGCAAGGACAGTGAGCTGTGGGTGAGGTCATAACATAATAAAATTTCAGAGAGGTCGGTGAAAAGGCCAATGTCAAAACACTACCTGCTTCCCTCCCCTATCGCACAAGTGCAATAGTGAAGTGATTGACACATTGTTTCAGTTTTATGTTAATTAACACTGATCCCAAACTCCCGTAGTGATAGGTGTATCAATTTCTATTTAATCTGTTTGCTTTCCCTAAAGTAAAATGTAACAATATTATGCGGTCGATTTGATGTGTTGGATCATTGCTGCCCCTTATTCTGCTCTGCTGCCCCTTTTCTCACCTCTTTGCACTGACTATGCCATGACGCTCGATGCAAGCTTTTTACTGCTGCGCTCAGTTTTGCTTGCTTTCCCATCCTATTACTGGTTTAACTTTTCTTGTGATCCCAACTTTTTAACCAAGCAGAAGCACAGTGTACAGTTCCCCTCATACTAGCATGCATGTGGAGCTTCACTACTCTGCACTCATGTGCCAGGAGCAGTACTTGACGGGGGTCAACATCTGGGTCAGCTCAATGGTCTCTAAAGTTTTGCTCACTATTAAAAGCTGCCATGTGTAAGTTGCAACTGAAAATTAATTGCTAACTTTAAATAACATTTCTGAAAAACAAACACTCGGCAAATATTGCAATAACCATAAACTTCACCAAGGCTGTGAAATTCTATCTGAAACCAGCTGCAGTCATAATTGCTTCCTCTCATTTATAAGCCTCCCAACGCTTAATTGGCTGTCACTTTTCCCTAAAAAATCTCGTCAACCAATTCTACTGTATTTCATTGAACTCGCTTAAATTGCAAAGTAACTCAAAAGGATACCAAAAATGGTATAAAATTAAAATTATAAGAAATCTCCAGGAAGTAGAGATACCGTAATAATCAAGACATGGAAATAATCCCTTCCATTTCTGTAAATCATCTACTACCGTGCATGCACTACATTGCATGACCCCTGTTAGCGAGAACACCGAATCAGCAGCTTTTTCCATTACGTTAAAAGCAGAATGATGGGCAGAAAACTTTACCACTTAGGTTAGTTCTCCAAATTAGCTCCTTTTACCATGCCAGTATGACAATCACAAATCACAAATTCATTAAAAAAAATTATGGCAATCCTTTTTTCTTTTTTTGCGTTAGCAGAATGATGGGCAAAGCCCCAATTCCTAGGAAAAAAAATTAAAATATGGTAATCTGTTGCTTGCATTAGCAGTGTCATGCTTGTACTTAATTATTTCAAAAAAATATTTTAAACAAATTTCAAATCTTGCGGAGCATCTTCAGTCGCCTTTGCATGAGCTGTTCAAGGACAAGCTTTCTCACTTACTTGCAAGGGCCAGCAGTTTCATTGGGGTTACCGGCAGCTTCCCCTTTGCCCCATCCTTCAATTGACTCCGGCAGGGGGCACCGGTCACACTTCTCGCGCACATCTCTTCGTGAGTATAAATACACCTGCACAAATCTTTCACATATCGTTTGGGAGGGAGTCTGTCTACCAAATCATCAATCTTTAGCTTCGAAAGCTTTATCTTGCCACCGAGGTGCACCTGCAATGAAAAATCATTCGCTTAGTCATGAAAGTCTAACGACTTTCAAAGGTTTTGTGCGTGCTTCCCTCCTTGCCCGCACATCATCTGCTCACGCTCGGTTCGGTCATTCTGGGATTCTGGATAATGACAACTTAGCCACCTGAGCACTTTGCCGCGTACAGCATATTTTTTATATTTAAGCTTTTTCGGCATGCTTAACCTATCCACTGCAGCTTCTCATTGTTTCCTCCATATATATTGTGAATGCATTAATGGAGCCTTGCAATAAATCTTGATCAAGATTGAAGTTTCACTAAAACTGACCTCACAAAACATAGGAACCAAGATAAACCAAAATTTTCCCGAAAATCACAATATTTAAAAAAAATATTGGCAAACTAAAATTAAAAAAAAAAAAAAAATTCCTTCTCAATGTTGACAGTGGTACGCCAATGGCAGGAGTGAATCCCCATGAAGCTTGTCTTCGGAGAGTTGTCGGTCCACAACAGGCTCATTCAGTCGAGCGTACCGACGTCACATATGCACCAAACCAGACCGCTAGACTTCACTGTACACACAACAGCAGGTTCGAATAGCCGAAATCCAGATTTCGTAGTAAACACACTCTTCTCGGATGCCACTAGTCCTCCCGAGACTCCTAAAGGCCCGTTCACACTCTTGCGACCGAGTAAGACCCAGTAAGACGTCTTAGAACAGGATACGCTACAGCGGAGCTGGTCCTAAGATGTCGCAAGAGGATTAAAGACCGGTCTGGTCTCTCTCGGTCGTACTCGGTTGCAAATGTGTGAACGGCTCTTAACACTCTCGACCAGTGTGACTAGTGAACCCACTTGCAGCGACTCCAATTGATGAGCATTCAGTTTACTTTCAAACGTGACTGTGAATGAGAATATTTTATAGCATTAACTTAGTACTTTGTAACAGCAAGAAGCTTCTAAAGGCATAAAAAAGTTTACAATGATGCAACACAAAATGCTAACAATAGAACAATGTGGTTGCCTACCATGCCATCTTCCTCAGAAAAAGCCGGTGGTGTGGGATCTTCCCTGTCCAAAACAGGCACTGGCAGCTGAAGTCCTGTAACACAGATGTTATCTTAAGTAAGACGGAACAGCATTACCGTGGGATACACTTGATAACCGAGTACACTATGTATTGTCCCCAATTGCATTAGAGCACCCATTCAAGTAATAAGATATATAATTAACAAGCGCTTACTTTTATATGTATCGTAATATACCAAGGAAATGCCCATTCCTTTTTTGACAAAAAATGGGTTGAACTATACTGTTAGTAGGAAAGCACAAAATAAATAAGGACGAATTTGACATAGATGAAGCACTCTCAACTGAAGGTTTACCATATTTACCAAATACCATATTTTCGCGATTCTAAGCACCCCCCCCCACCCCCCCCCCACCTTTTCCAAACGAGACGCCTGAAAAAAAGTTTGTATGCGAATGTAAGCACCCCCATCCCATGCAAGAAATTTGAGAGCGGCGATGCCGGTATCATCTTGTTATCCATTAAGCTCGAGCGCCGGAGTCGCGAACGGTCGCTACGACATACGAGCATACGACAAAGAACAGTCCAGCAGCCCGTGCTTGCCGAGCCGGCAAATGAGGTGCCACGTGCTTGCCAGGCCTGCAAACAAAATACAAGCTAAGCACACACACACACACAAAAAAAGAACCTGAGCGCATAGATGCAATACTTCGCAAGCCAGGGTCAAGACGGAGCGTTTTGTGCAACGACTGAACTCGCGACAAACAAGCGCGCTATGAGGGTTCAGCGTGCACACTTTGCCTTCTTTGCTTTAGCTCACTTCTCTTCACACCACTTTCTTTTGCGGTACATTTTATACGAAAGAAAGCCCACCGACAGAAACCTAGGTAATCAATACTTTGACACAGCAGTAGTAACGGATATTTAAACAAGGACAGGAATGTTGATGAACATGTGTCGGCACTTAATTTCATTTTAGAAGCTGTCATATCTGCAGCGAGGTGGGGACGGCAACACCCGACGTCGCACGGCCGCGGTGACCGAAAGGCAGTTAGAAAAATATAGTTTTCCCACGACCCTTGCTTTGATAAACGAGTGCTCCAGCTCACAAAATAACTCCCGCCGCAAAAAAATAAAATGTTTTGTTTTACAGCATGTGGCATGGCTGCTACCCAGCACGCACGCTAGTGTCAGAGCGTCCGCATACACCTGCGTCTATCGTGAAAATATTTATAAAAAAAGAGGCGAGACGAGACCAACAAGACCACGAGAGCGCGAGACGGCAGGAAAACCATGCAAGACCGGATGGACAATTGATGCAGGGGGCTTTGTGTCGGGCATCTGCTTGCGCCATATAACACATGCATGCTCAATTACAGTACTCGGTTTAGTTTCGGTATTGAGAGGCAACCGAAATTGGTTTCTTGGTACAAGCATAGTGTAGATTACCCATATTTTGGCAAAATGTAGCGGGATGGAGCAAGGTTAGCCCCTTGGAGTAGTTTGGTGCAATGGTTAACTGTCTTCCTATAGTATTCACAAATGCATTTTGATATACCCTTACCCTCCTCCCCCCCCCCCCCTAGAAGTCAGGTCATCCTTTCTTCATTTGTGCACTCACCTTGTTGTTGACCGACTGGCGGGACGTCAGCCACTGGCAAGAGAGCTGCGGGAGGAGTCGGCACAGTCTGCACTCTCTCAGCAGGACATGTTGGCACTTGGTTTGCTGGCAATGGACAAAACAAGGAACTTGCAATGACAGTATGTGGGACAAGGCACCATATTTTAGAATGCCAGCACCAAATAAAAAGGCTTAACCTCCCTGCCATTCATCAATATCCAATGATGCTTACTGTAGAATCCTTCACTGCCCCTCTCCTACCCTGCAAGTCAGTTTATTTTCTGTATTTGTGGCACTCACCCAGTACTTGGTCAACTGGCGGTACCAGAGCTTGATCCACTAGTACTTTAGCAGGCAACGCACGCTGTGTAGATGGGCATCCTGGAGACATAAAAGAAAGATGTGTTACAGGCGAGCACAATGATCAATCGCTGCCTTGTAGGGTAGTATTTGAGAGACGTGAGACCCACTTTTCAATTTAGAAGATTGAAAAGAAATAATCTGGCCAGGCAAATATTGTAAAATACTTCCTTTTTATAATGCACCGAAGTATTGAATGCACTCTCAAATTGAGTATATAAAAGAATTGATTTTTGTTTCCCTGTGTATTTATTGCATCCGGAATATGCAAAGGAAGCAACAAGAAGTTAGAGAGAAAGCAGTACGAGACAAAGTGCCCAGTCGGCTTGGGCAAGAAGACGTTGACTCAAAATTACCAAGAACACGGCACGCAAAAGCCCAGAGTCGCCGACAACAAGCAGACAATGCAAGGCAGAGGACGCACGGGTGAAGGGGAAAGCATGCACAGAGCAAAGGTTCGCTCGTTGCCGAGATGCACAACTATGAGAGCATGTGCTTCAATGGCATGCCTCGCGGAACAACCAAGCCGTGAAAGTGACTGGGCGTGTTCCGTATTTAGACATTCTGCATACTTTTTAATCACGTGCTTCACAGAGCCGGCCCAAGTGATTAGGGTAGCTGAAGCAGGCTGTCATGTTACAGATACGTGATCAGCAGAGTCAGAAAGGGAAAGAAATAATATTCTGGATACACCCAAGATCTCGGCAAACAGCCATGACATCAGGCAAGGGGTTCTTCAAATTTATGCAGTTTCGGTTGCATTTTCAGTCCACATCTTCTTTGTTAATGATTTGACGCTACTTAGGAACCCAGCACAGTAAGAAAAATCTTAGCTTCATTTTCCTTACCATAAAGGGTAGTAACAGGAACTTTCACAAACCATACCTAATTTCTGTGTTTATCTTTCAAAGTTGCCACACATAGCTGTCACGCACCCCAGGAAGCAGCTTCATTTTCGGGCAAAATAAAGATGATAATTATGTGAATAACCATGGTATATTTTCTTTGAGCATACTGGAGGGTTATGCTCAAGTAGAGACCTGCTGGAAAGGCACCCTGCTTGGCGAACGCAACTGCCATTTTTTTATTTGGGGAGAATTGTGCCGATTGCAGGAGCCTTTCTGGGAGCCTCCGTTTCCCAGAGATGCTTATATGGTGTAATTTGAGTAGCAACATCAGTCTTCTGATCTTGCTAAAAGCTTGTCACGGCTGCAAACTGCCGTGAATGCAATCTATGTGTTTCACTTATCCTACAGTAGACTGACATTTTGCAGAGCATTTCTTTCTCTCACTCCTCAGAGCCATCCATGGCTAGCAATGAACAAGGCAAACAAAAAACAAAATAAAGAAAAGCAGTTAAAACTTGCCTGTGCCAGAAGTTGAAGGCACTGAAACTGGGCCGCAGTGAACATCCTTCATTGGATAGGGTGCATTCTCTAAATAGAAGGAGATGCACAGATGGATGTAAGAAAAAATGGAGTGGCCTATCAACATTACCAAGCAACTCACCCCACTCAAGGAATGGTGACTCATAAAAGGGAAGCCCCTCATCGGAGGTAGTGGCTGTGTCTCTACTCTCTCCTGCGGCAACTACTGAAAAATGAAGTTTGAATTGAACCAGAAGGCAAGCAGTAAAAACTATATTCCTTTCAAAGTTTTCGTTAACTATGAGAGGGGGAAACATACACACCAATTTTTGTGGCCAGGGCCTGAGCCAGCTGCCGACTGTGGCTCCTTTCTTTGGCCAGTTCTTTTTTTAGTTCTTTTATAACTTCCTCTTTTTCCCTGAGGACAGTGATGGGTACCATGTCACTCTGGTAGCGGCTGGGTGTCTCCGTCTGCTTGATCTGGGCAAAAACGTGTGTGTTTGCTGACTTTAATCAACTGCCTAAATAATGAAACCTGTATGGCTGTGGCTAGAATTCCGTCCAGACAAAACGATAGTCACCGCTAGAGTTCCGTCTAAACTGCCAATGTCCAGTCTCCGAAGTGATCTTCGTAGGGCTTTTTATTCAGTGTCGATGAAACGTGCGTGTCAACCTAACCGGTCCACCTCTTTACGCTGCTTCGCAGCAACAGTATGTGGCGGCTCATTACAAAAATGTAACTCCCCTGACCCACCTTACACGCCGCTTTGCGGCAGCAGTACCCCCGTTGCTCAGTTTATAGTTCCGCTTCGACGGAACTCTACACTGTTTGCTATCATTCCTTCAGTGCAGACAGAACTTCAGTGGCGACTATTGTTCCATCTGGAAGGAACTCTAGACACTTCCAACTTTTATTGGCGCAATTTCATACCTTCTGCTTTTTCCTGAAATCAGCGGCAATGTCATGCAGCCTTGTTTTCTTTCCGATTTCCTTTTGTTTTCTCTTCTCCTTGTGACCGAGGTCTTGGACTTTCTGAATGCAAAGAGAAGGAATCTAAAATTTATACAACTCAACCGCTAACAGCCCCAGACAAAATATCAAGGCTCGCTCAGTAAGGAAGTAAGGTTTGTAATCGCTAAAAAAAAAGGAAGTGGATATTCTGCCGGCAGGGGACACAATAACCTGGGAAAAGAATGCCGGCAGTTGTCCCCTATTGGGTCTCATATAAAACTAATTGAGAAAACGGCTATTTGAAGCTGTGGAGTAGCTTACTGGTAAGGTGTCTATCTCACACATATTGGGACCCTGGTTCAATTGCAGTGTGGGCTTATTTTTTCTTTTTCTCAAACTTTTTTTTTTTGGTGGGGGGGGGGGGGGGGGGGCTTTTGCAATATTTACCGCATTTTTTTTCTTTTCTTTTTATTAACACAGGAAAAATGTAATGTTGCAAATGAAACTTCGCTGAATTAAATGGTATAGCACTGCACCCTTCCCGGGGGTAAATGAAAAACAGCCCGGGGAAAAAAAAATGCCGCCAGTTTCGGACGGCGCGTGTATCACTGGGGAGCGGACGGCGTGTTTATCACTCGAACGGCGCATGTATCACAGTCTGCAGCTGCTCATTAGAAAAATATTAACACTATTGGCCCACCTGTCCACCGGCAGTACAAGTATCGCTGTCCTCCATTCACCCCAGGAAAGGCAGTCCCATTCCATTTAACTCAGCGAAGTTTCGTCGACAACATTAGATTTTTCAGTGTTAATTGTAAAAAAGAAATGCTGCAGATATCGTCAAATGCCTAAAAAAAAGCATCATATAATCCCTCATTGACAATTGACTCAGGGTCCTGCTGCGTACGAGACAGACACCTTATCAGTGAGCTACTCTACAGCTTCAAATAGTCTTCATAATTTGTTTTATACGAGACCCAATAGGGGGCAGCTGCCGGTATTTTTTTCCCCCTAGTTATTATGCCGGCAGACCGCAGGATAATCCACTTCAAAAAATAATAAACCGAGCTGATTTCATTAAAAAGGTGCCATTTGTTTTTTACTGTTAAAAAAAATGCTGACTACAACAAGCTACTATGAGCAAATATTAAAAAAAAGTGTAATAGTAATTATTCATAAATAAAATTGTTAAGTTTGACCCCTTTCTTTGCAGTGCCTAGAGTGCCGTCTAACGGCTCTCCACAGGATAGTTCAAGTGGCACCCAAAGTCTTTACAGGGGCAGTGCGCCGTCACATTCTGCGAATTGCAGAGGCCACTGCCTCTGTAGACTGAACTTCGCTGATTCAAATTTTGTCAACATTCCAAGCACTAGCAGTCGGAGAGCTCTGATGAGCGGAAATTTAGGGGCAAGGTCAGAACGCTTTCCAACACAAACCACACTTCTATTGCAATATATGACCTATCAGAGGCTTACCACTGCTTTATCTTACCATTAGGTGCAGATCAAGCAATGTTGCGGTAGTGAGGTATATTATTCTTTGTATTGCGATGCAGGGCCGCAGAAGTTGGAGACAAAAATAAAAAAATCCTTTTGAAAATAAAAATCTACTTGTGATATGCAATATTGAACCTGGACTTCCATAAAGTAAAACACATTGCTTGCTCAGCCTGCTAACCACTGCACCGCCACAGCGAGCTAAATATGTCATTTTTGGGGGTTTCTCATATCATTTTCAATGCACGAAAATAAAATCCGAAATAACTATGGTTAGTTTATCAGGAAAGAAAGAGATCATGTAAGCGTGCTAATTTCGGCTGAACTACACTAAAATATGATGTTAATCGCTAAACGAAGGCACTTGAACGCTCCATAGCAGTACTTGTCGGGCAGCACTTGAACACTTGGTTGGAGCGCCGTAAAACAGCACTCTAAAAATGCGATTGCTTTTTTTTAAGGCTTGAACTGTTTTTCGAGTGGATGTGTTGGATTATCTCTATCGGATAATGAATCTTTACAATTGGTTCAAGGAAAAGTGGCACAGCAAGGCAAAACTTGCCTTTCCTACTGGTCCTACGAGCTTTGCTGTTCCACCGACAATCCTTGGAATGGGGTACCGTTTTGTCTGCATTTTCTTCAGGAGGTCATCCACAGACTCTGCGGAATATATATACATATATTAAACATAAATCTGATTTTTTAAACATGCTTTTTTCCAAAAAGATAAAATAAATATGAACCGAATTTTGTAAATATCAGTTTAGTTGACATGTCGCAAAATACCAGGAAAGCTATGATCTGTGCGTGAGCGCGGCAGGACCGAGCGCGAGAACTTTACTTGTCATACGAGTGGACAAAAAAAAACAATAAAAATTCTAACTCTGGTAAGCCTTTTTTTTTTTTTTCTCTTTTTGGCAGTCGCGGCCCGACAGGCGTAGCTTAGCCGAGTGACGAAACGGGTCTCTTAGTTGTGCGGATCAAGCATATCTGACCAAGCTCGCACCCCAAAAGATGCCTCCATTCCCTAGGAAAAAAAAACAACAAAAAAACTTACCGCCCAGAAGGAGCACGTGAGCATCGTAATAATCCTCTTCATCGCCGCAGTCCGACACCCAGTAGGCCTCGTATATCCGGGTGGCGTCGAAGTCTTCGTCATTTCGGGGCGAGAAGCTTCTGATCAAAGACGTTGGCAATATCAGCTGCCAACCGTCCGTAAATTTTACATATGCGTGCATCTACTCTACAGCCTCCTATCTTAGAAAAAGAACACAAACCACCGAAACACGTTGAAGAAAGAGCAAGCAGAGCAGCAGAGATCGATACACGACACAGAAGCAGAACCAGCGAACGTGATGCGTTCGGTTTGTGCCGAAAGACATATGTAATCGTTCTCAGTAAGGGCACGTGAAAGCAACTCTCAGTCACCCCCTCCTGAGTCACGCCCGCCCGCACCGCCACTCACACTCACAAAAGATATTGGCATTATCCGAACGGAGTGGGTGGGGTCCCTGCACCGACGTCACAACACAGCGCCGTTCCGCCATCGCTACGTACTTTTCGAACGCACCTTGCGCCTGCGGCTTTCGTTTTGGTGTGGCGGCGTTGTCTTGGTAAAGCGCCGGAGTTTGAGCGGTCGTAAACTCGGGCGTTGCTCGGACGCTGCTACACGGAGCCCAACGCCTAAGTGTTATTCGGGTGTAGCCGCTGCCTTGGCCGAAAGCTGGCAGATCGAAGCCAGGAAGGCTGCAACAGAATTAACTGCTGGGCTGCAAGAACGCAAAAAGATACGGACAAGTAGAAGAACAGGACAGGACAGGCTCTGTCCTGTCCTGTTCTTCTTTTGCGCTCTTATCCTCTATGAGGCTGCAACTCAGGGTCACAAGGGTGCCTACATGTTTCCGGTGCGGCGGGCACATGTAGGCACCCTAAATCGAATGAGCTCGAGAAACACTGCCTCCGCGCATACACGGCGTAGCAGACGACGCGCCAACATGGGCTGCGTTCAATGTCTTGGATCCGCATTACTTAGGCGGGTCGTGTCACGTGACAACACAGATTGTAAAGCGCTGAATGCGGGTAAGTTTGGGAACGCCAAGGTACCAAGCACTTATCCTGGGGCCTGGAGTAAGGTCGAGTAAATTTTGGAACACGGCACACGGCCATGCCGACGAGGCTACGATTCGAATCTGACGTCAGGTGTAAAAGCCAAACAACCCACATAAAAAAAAAAATAAAAAAAAAAGCAATGAGGAAAAAAAAGTTGTTAGCAGTGTGACAGTAATAGCAATAAATAATATTTATTTCTACTAATGACGGCCGTAGTGCTTCAGAAAGGCGGAACAAGACAACAATAAACGGGACGCATTCGAGTCGCGAAGGAAGAAAACAAATGCAATGCGCTCTTCGGGAAGGCACGTGACCGTAACCTCCAGTCACCCTTCTCCTAAACGTGTCAGCACTCACAGAAATCTTTTGGTGGCGTTTTTTGAACGAAGGAGGTGACTGTAGTTGACTCTTTTCTCTGAAATCCGGAACTCCGGAAGACTACTTCAAATCATTGGGTGTTCGCGAGTCGCGACGTTCTTTGCGGCGGAGGGATTTTTTTTTATTTAGCGGTCATCAAACATCTAGCCAATCCTTGTGCTTGTGGGCTTGTGTGTAAGTCCGGCAGACTTCTTGACTGATATCCTTCGTATTCTACGTTTGGCGACCGAAATATTTATGACATGGCTACTCCTGGCAAACGACGAAAGCGGTACCTAGACGCAGACCAGCCTTACCTCATCCCGGTATCAACCTTACGTTTCCAGAAGACGCTTGTGGGTCAGGGGGCTAACGCTGGCACCTCTGTAGTTACGGAACCGCTTGACGGCGACGAAGGTAGAGAGAACGGAGGTTACCGTAGTGACCCTCTAGGTACTGACGAAGACGACATCCAAGACTGCCACGGAGCCTACCGTGATGACCCTGTAGATACTGACGAAGATGACGCCGAAGACTGCCACGGAGCCTACCGTGATGACCCTGTAGATACTGACGAAGATGACGCCCAAGACTGCCATGGAGTCGACGTCGGAGATGTCTCCACCGACAGTGAGCATGCATCGCAAGACCAACCTGATGACGGAGGGGACAGCACTGATGATGAACACCCTGACGGCGAGGTGTCGAGAGAGAAGTCTCTCGAAGAAGCCGTGATCTCTGAAGACGACGACGACGAGGAGATGGGACCTGGGTCCATCGAAGATCTCTTGACCCTGTGCGTGGAAGAGTTTGGTGCTAGTATGCTGCCGCATTCACCAACGTCGAAAGCTGGCGCCATCGCGATGGTTATATCGTATGCCGTTTCGGAGAGATCGACGTGGGCCGGGCTCGGCAAGCTATTGACACTTGTGAATGCCTTGTTTGGCAGCGCAGTTCTGCCGACAAGTATCTACAAGCTGAGGAAGCTGTGGACGAAAAAAAAGGAAAACTTGGTGAAGTACCATTATCTGTGCCCATGCTGTGACACGGTCCTCAACTCAAGCGATTCGATTGCACGATGCGATGTGTGCAATTTTGAGGAGTCCACTGAGAAGCTAAGACATGGTGGGTCATATTTCTTGATGCTCGACCTCCACAAGCAGCTCAAGCACCTAATTGGAAAAACAAGTGTCGAGCTTCATCATTCGCTGTCAATGCTAGCACTCAATGACTCTGATTTGATTACGGACATTACAACAGCCGAAGCTTGCAAGCACTTGCGCCAAGAGCTTGCCTTAGGTCCGAGTGACCTAACAATCACGTTCAACACTGATGGGAGCCCCATCTTCAAATCCTCGAAGACGTCAGTGTGGCCGATTCAATTTACAGTAAATGAACTACCCCCTGCAGTGCGCTTGCACCACCCTACATTGGCTGGACTCTGGTTTGGGAAGCGCCATCCAGACATGTCGGTTTTTCTGACCAAGTTTGTGGAGGAAGTCAACACTATGGCCCCTGTGACATGGATCCATGGAGATCAGCAGCTCACTTCAAAAGCCTTTGTACTGTGCTGCAGCGTTGATACCCCTGCCCGTGCTGCCGTGCAAAACATGGTCTCTTTCAATGGGTTCTTCGGCTGCCCATATTGCTTGATGAAAGGCGAGCACGAGGAAGGTACATATAATTTTCATTCTTTTGCAGATATACACTTTTGCCTGCTAATCAAGGAAGATATCATTGATCAGGTCGCAATGGTTGATCAGTTAAATACTTTGCTTTCTTTTTGCAGGATGCGTGCGCTATGTCGCCGATGAAGCCCCAATTCCGAGGACATCGGAGCTTGTTGTTCGAGACATGGAGCTCGCCCAGAGGCTGGGGAGCCCTGTAAATGGTATCAAGGGTCCATCACCTCTCATGAACCTTGAAGGTAATTTGTGTGTGTGGAATGTGTCATGTCAAAACCTACCTGACATCGTTTTTGCTCAGGTTTCGACTTGGTTGCTGGCATGAGCGTGGAATACATGCATTGTGTTCTGCAAGGGGTGGTGCGACAAGTCACGGAGCTCCTCTTTTCATCGACAAGCTCACGACAGGCATACTACATCGGTAACCGTTTTAACGTGTCTGTTACAATGCCATAGCATGCACGAAACAAAAACCTTAGAGTTTGTCATTGTCAAACAGCATTCAATCATGTGTCACCATCTGGCAGCTAGGAAAATTGATAGATGATGTGCAAGCCTTTTGCAAGGTTGTTAATGCCCGGGTATTTAATCCTTGCCTCATCTATTAGCTCATTCACATGGGAATTCCAAATGATATTGTCACAATGAATGAATGGCCGAACTTCCTCTCCAAGCGCGCTTGTTGCCACGGACGTCATTGCCGAGAATCGAGTGATTGCTTGAAATTTTCCAAACGCTCGGCAACTGCGCAATGCGCACTTGTAGAGATGTGTAGTTTGCACGGTCGCCGAGTGTTTGAAAAGTTGGAAGCAATCGCTCAATTCTGAGCAATGACGTCCGCGGCAACGAGCGCACTTGTAGAGAAAGTTGAGCAGTAGATGCACCCCGGCAGAGCATTCTTTGCCCTGAGAACGTTTCTGTTAGTCCTCTCGTCACCTTCATTCGTGGCATTTCTGGTGGAGGTGCAGGGTACTTATCCTCGTACCACTCACATGCCAAGTAAGACTGATTCAACAAGGTTGTGGGCCGCTTCGAGCGTCGCGGGCTCAGGGCGAGAATGAACAGGCACTTTCTAGAACGAGAAACAAAGATGAAACGGTAAAAGTTACGCCTCGAGTAGAATACACGGGAATCTTTTAGAACTATGTGACAGAGTGTTGTTTGCTCGGCCCTCAGCGCGGCAATATTGTGCCGAATGACAGTTTATAATAGACAAACCAGTGCCTGCCGCTGCCAAGCATGACACCCCAAACTGGGATCGCGAGCTGATTTCAAGATTTCTCAAATGTCATTCGTGCTTACTCCCATTTAACCTGTCATCTAGCAGTATCAGCAGTCCATTTGTGTCCCTAGACATGAATGCGGTCTTTAAGAAAGGTTTCCGTCGATCTACTGCTCATTGCCGACGCCGCTTGGTAACCGAGAAAACAATGCTACCAGGCGGCTTTTTTTTTTTATGTTTAATTTTGTTAAAGGGATGCTGAACCGAAATTTTGGGTGGAAATTCTTGGTCGCAATGGCATACATAGCATGTCCTTTACTTCTAAATGGCGTTGTTTTGAGCGAGGAGGCGTATAAAATTGAATAAACACGAAAAATACAATTTTACGCGACCCCTGGTGAGCGTCGTGGAAAACTCGCTTCGTGACGTGCGCATTCTCATTCGCCTCAAAAGACAGACTGAGCCAAGCCAAGCCAGGCGCTAAGTCGGGTGGCGTTTGTTATTGTTAGTACCACGCGGGCTCCTGGAGTGATCATGTGCCTCCGCCGCACCCCCTTGACATGCGCTGTGCCTGTGAGCGACTCGGCTGACTCTTCCCACTCCCGGAATGATCGCGTACCTCCGCCGCCCTCCCTGACGTCCGCCGAGCCTGAGAATGACTCGGATGTCTCTGCCCCGACTCTGCAGTGACCGCGTGCCTCCGCCGCGCACCCCGCGCCGGAGCCCCATCCGCGTGCCCGCCCGCGTGTGCCCGTGAATTCTGTGTCCTCGGCCCCCCCTCCCCCCCCTCTCGCATCCGGAAGACCGCTTCCCGACCTCTATCTAATCTCATTTCTTTCTGCTCATCTTTCACTCCCATTCCCCCTCCCCCCAAAGATAGTTAGCACGACTCCCATTCGAGTGAGTCTACAGGACTATCTCTTCCTTTCCAAACTCCTCCTCTCTCTCTCTGTCTGCTCTGCCCGCGTGGTACTAGTCCCAGCCGCTTTGAGAACAGCCGCCGAGCGAAGAATCAAGGCGAGCACCAACGAACGAGGAGAATGCGCGGAGGCGCCAGGGGCGCTGGGGGCGCCGAGAATGCGCACGTCAGTTCCGCTACGCCTGCTCTCAGAAGGACTCGCTCGCGCCGGCGGCTTCCGGCCGAGGATTCGCTCTTAATTCAAAGAAATACAATAATTCGGGCCCCATCCGTCGGATTCAATATCGTTTTTAGGTACAGTACCATTCCGTGAAGCCCGCTC